TTTTCTTGAAAGATATGCTGAAGAAGAAAATGTTGGGGTTTCCCTTTTGTTTTGTTTTAAAACAATTTTCCCTCAATGAAAGCCCAATCATCCAAGCCTAATGAAGAAAGAGTCCATTCCCTCAAAACAAGACCAACATACCAAGTTCGGTAAATATTAATTTAATTGGATTTTTAGAGCCCGATAAATATAGATAAATTCAATTAACATTCACTTTGAAATTTAAATGAAAAAAAAATCTCCCGATTCGAGACTAACTAACCTAAGGGACTCGGGGCGTTACAATACTACTATAGATTCCTACGAGGAGTAGGATATTGTTTTCTTATAATGATTAAAATATTGTTTCTTCCTATAAGGATTAGGATATTTGACTCCTATAAATAGAGCCCTTTTGTTTAGGTTTTATTTGTACAAAATCCGATGAAAGAGAATTGAGTGGTTTTGGGTAGTGTGTGAAAAGGAGTCTGTATAACATGGGTTTAGTAAGCATTTTTCCATTCGTGTACCTAAGTATATTGGGTTAAATACTTATAAGCTAGGGTGATATTGTTGGGACCTCTAGAGAATGAATATAGGGGTGAGATATTTGAGTTCTTGTATCTAATCTCTTTATTAGTGGAACCTGCTCTGAGTGAAAGACAAGACGTATCTTTGCTTTTAAGATATCTCGTACGCTGCAATTATTGAGGAGGTTGGTAGAAAAGGGAGTGGGAAGACATCCGTAACCACTTCCAGAAGGGAGAACATTTTAGAGTTAGCATTCGTAGCTCAGAGTATGGGCAAAGGGAAGATGAGCTATAAAGGAAAGCAGCAGTACAACAGCTAGAGGTGTGGGAGTAGCAGTAGAGATGTGGAATGTTTTTCCTGATGCAAGAAGGGACGAATTAAGTGGTTTTTTGTAGTAGAAATTGCTAACTGCAAGTGTACTGGTCAAGTTTGAATTTAGTTGTTAAGTAAATATTGATATCGTCCTCAGGATTAGGTTTCTAGATCTCTAAAGTACCACAAATACTTTTACCCAGTTTTATTTAGAAAATTAAATTGGAGTGTTGTAATATGATAAAAGCAAATAAACTATTAACAAATGTAAATTTAATGGGAATAACGATCTTAGGGAATAGAATTCATCACTATGGGACCAATTATTTAATTAATTAAGATTGAACAAATTATCAATTCTATAAGCCAATAACTCTCAAATCTCAACTGCTTCTCTCGATCGCATGCCAACTCTCCTTACTAAATTATGAAACTAATATCCCTATCTAATTTTGTAACAAGTAAAGGCTTTAATGAACAAGTCTCCTAACGACCTCTAGAGAAATTCTAAATCTACCCATCTTAAAAATCCCTTCAATTATGAATCTCAGTCTCAAATCTCAACCACCTCTCATGAGCCTAAGATTGCAAAGAGAAAGACATGAACCAAAGAGAAACATAAATAGAATAAACAAATACATTCAATCAAGAAAATCAAACAATGAATCCATAAACGTCAATGACTACATCAATCCCTAAGACGAAGAAATTTAGCTACTCATATTCATGATTAAACTAGCAAAATAAAAGAAAAGATATAGAAAGTGAATCTGTTGCGTTGATTGATCGTCCCCAACTCAATCTCCAAGATCGATCTTCAAAACCCAGCTTCTTCCTCGAAATACTCAATTGCTCTGGGCTCTCCCCTATCAATTCATCACGAAGGTTTTATTTATAGATTTTTTCACGACAGCGTTGAGACGCTAGGAACAGTGTCTCAACGCTATGCTTTAAATGCTGGCAAAAATCGAATATTGTCATCGTAGCGTCGAGACGCTATAAGTAGCGTTGAGATATTGCTAGACGACGTAGAATGCTGATATTCTCGCTTTTCATTGTAGTGTTGAGACGCTCTAAAGTAGCGTCTCCACGCTACTCGTGTTGGTCATCTGGCTGCGCTTCATCATTTTAGCATTATAGCGTCAACGCTACCCCCTCGGATCTCTTGGCTCTATATTGTATTGCAGCTCACCTTTGACTTGCACAAGCTATGGGTTTTCACCCTATGTTATAAATTCAATGTCCTGATTCATCTTGATACCTTATTTCTAAAAAATAACATTTAGGCATGTAAATTTATCATAAAGAAATGGAAACTTACAATTAATTTCATTGTAATGATTATAAAATATAGCTCGTATCAGAGGCTATCAACACCCCCAAAAGCTGCGAAGATATCAATAAATTAGGCTCAATTACTAATTTTATTGGGCCGACTTTCGTTTGGCGGGTTATTTTCCATTTGTAGAAAACTTCCACACAAAATGAAAGCCCATTTTATTTTTGTTGCAACTTGTGGCTACCAAGCCTATTTATATGACATGATTGCTAGGTCTTGGAAGATTAAGAAAAAGACCATTTTTTTGTAATGCAATCAATTAAAATAAAATATTATAAAAGTTAAAAATATCAAAAAAATTATTAGTTTTATTATTAATTAAGGAACCAGAAATGGTTACCAAACACATTTCTGTTTTCTGTAATAAAAACGAAAGAACAAGAAACAATAAGTAATAATGAATGAAATTGATCTATTTCTCTTAATTTAAAATTGAGGAAATGAGAAACAGTAAATAAAAAATGAGAAATAAGAAATAATAAACGGGAATGTTACCAAACGGGCTAAAAAATATTAAACATTCAAAATATTTTAGTCATGGAAAATATTTAAAAGCGTCATTAATCAATATGAAAACGACATTAATAAATAATTCAAATAAATTTAAATTCACGTAATCTCTAAAATATTATAAAAATAATAAAGTAATTAAAAAATAAGTCTTTTAATAATGTGTGTTGGAGGCCATTTATAGCCTATCACGTGTCAACATCTAAGGAGACTTCATGCTAATTAGTAATAAAGAAATTCAACCAAGATCACTTTAATGTCTCTCATAGGTTTGGGAACTTAGGTATGGTCATCCTTAGTTAGATATGTCCCTTTTACTCCTTCGTCCTCATTCTAACTTTACCTCATTTCTTTTGCAATTGCAATCAAACTTGTACCAGGTCTGACAAAGGAGATCTTTCTATATGTGGAGTACTTTCGTAATCAGTACAAATCATCTCGGAAGGTGAGCACATTGATCATTGACAAACTGCTTGTGGACAACAACACCATCTCTCACCTACCAGTCGAAGCAACTTGTTCCAACTCTAAGCTAGGTAAGCTCACTCTTTGTTCTGCTCTCTTCTGATCGTGACCCAGATTTTTACTTGCTCAAGTTTTTATTGCAGCTATGGTGTGTGGATTTGCCAACGCTGTAAAGAGAAAGCGTCTATATGGGAGTAGTTCCTTAAAGGCAGGGTCCAAGTTGGCCTCCACAAATGTCGAGGCCAACACCGAAACGATCGTTGGTCTAAAATGTGCAACAATAGCTTGTGATGTAGATGGGAGCCAAGGTGGTCGATCTAGCCAAGCTTTATATGTGTCGGACGGTGCAAAATGTTTCGGATTAAGGTCAAACCTATTCAAAGTATGACAACGAGAGAAGAGGTTAAGCGTCTAAGTAAGGAAAGGCTCGCACAAAATAGGCAAACATTTCGACGCTTAAGTAAGTATAAGCTTGACTTTAATATGGAATCTGAGATAAAATGTGATACTTGATGTGGAAGTAAGACCCTATATTTATAGGTTGGGATCCGAAAGGCCATCCGACAGATGGTTATTGGTGTCGCCCCCAAGGTCGAACTAGTCAGATGCCTAATGTCGAACCGTAATCGCGAGATAGTGTCGTTGCAGCGTTTTCCAGCATAGTCTGTATTGGAAATGTGACCAAAGTCCCACATTGACTAAATAAAGGGAATATCATGGGTATATTGGTATAAGACAATGTGTCCATTAGTATGAGGCCTTTTGGGTGGAACCAAAAGCACAACTGCAACGGTTATGCCCAAAGCGGTCAAGATCATACTGTTTTGGAGATACTTAGTGTACTTGGGGTACCCAGTTAAAGGATGGTGTGGTGCAACAATATACAATTACATCTAGAGTTTAATTGAGATGTACATTTGACGGAACAAGCTTAAACCATTGGCTTTGTGGATTGCCTTTGCATTGTGAATCACTCGGACACTTGCAGTTTTTAGTCACAGTTAGAAGGGAATGAGAAGGCTTATGCAAGCATAAGAGTTGTCCTTGTTCATCAATGGATGCCAGTTGAAGCTTGGCATTTGAAGCATATATCCAAGCACTTTGTCGGATGGAGCAATCACGAGAGAGAATTGGAGGGAGGCCATTTCCTACTGCTTTCAAACACATGAGTAGACCTCCATCTATATCGTGACTCCACCGGTTCGAAATCTTGCAACTACTAATTCCTAATTGATAGTTTTTGTTCATTCGCACGCACCCACCGCTACGAGGATGATACATTATGAACGTTGTCGAGAGATTTGAACTCGGGTCTGTTTGAAGAGTAACATTTGATTTATCATTAGTAAGGAAAGAAAGTAAATTTTGAGTTTGGCTTTCAAAATATCCTTACTGAAAAATCTCATTTATAAAATAATAATAATAATTAATGAAAACAAACTGCATAAAAGTAGTAGCCTATGAATTCAAACGTTACCTTGAAGCTGGGCTTGCATGAGCTGAAATTTCAAAGGAATTTAGGGTTCCTAACTTTTGTCCAATTGGAATCTAAGACGCCAAATGTTTCCTCGGCACTTCGCACCCCACTCCTGTAGTAGTAGCTGCCTTGCAAACCCCATAAGCCCCAATCGAAATCATTCTCAAAAAGATAGGTAAAAAAGTAGCTCAAGAATCGATTTTGCCCTTCATTTTCACCAGTTTGATCAATTCCAAATTCACTCACAAACAGAGGCACTGGATTTTGTCCTCTCACTAGAAACCCAGCTCGCTCTTCAAATCCTTGGTTGACAGTAGCACAAAATGTGTTTAATGGCTTCGACATCCAAAGCTCGCGCATGTCATTCGTAAAAGAGTACAAATGCGCCTAAAAAACAAGCTTGTTGTCCAAGTTGAAGCCCATAGATCTATTTTTCAAGAAGCTGAGATTGGTATCGAAATCCAGCCCAGAAACCACTACTAAAGCATTTTGGTTTGTTTGGTGAATAAGCTTAGCTCCTTGGCTCATGTATTCAAACCATTTCTCCACATTTTGATTTGGTCCTCGCAGTTCATTTCTCAAACTCATTGCTACCACCTTTTACATATTTATTACCAGACAAACGATCAAAATATAAAAGTAAAAGCTATATGMAAAAAAAAAAARRAWYWA